CATTTTACTCTAAAGATATGAAACCCTAGTTTTACTTATTCACTGTGTAACATATACTTAGCAGGGTTAAGCCTGAGGTAATTTCTGTTTGAAAGAATAAAATGAAGACAATTATCAAAAGATTTACAGGTTTTATTTGACTCTTCATATCTAATCCTTTCACTTCAAAAAGAGACAATTAAAAGGAAGTAACCAGGTAGCATGGACATTTTTTCCTGGGATAATTTGAAGATAGACTTACCTTCTGAAGTTTTCTGGTCTAAACCCAACTGATGTGCATTGTTCTTTCCCCAGCCATAGACCACTCCAGAAAGAGACAAGACAAAGTTGTGTGCCCCACCAGCAGCCACCTGAGCCAAGGGGATGCCAGCAAGAGAGGAAATGTTACACGGAGTAGCCTGGGATGGAACTTCTTTACCAAGACCCAGCTGACCATGGCTGTTGTGTCCCCAGGAAAATACTCGCCCATCTTCATTGGGAGGGAAAAAGGAAGAAAAAAGCCACCATTACATTGATTAGAATACGAATTGGCAACTTGTTCAGGTAAACAAGGGTATAGCCCCTCAACGTTTAAGATGACAAACGTCTCACAAGTTTGCCAGATCTGAAAAATTATCACGCCCTCAAAATTGTATCTGCTCCCTCCTGAAATCTTGTAGATTCATGGAATGAGTTTTGGTGGAACATCACAAAAACCATTCAGGGTGAACCATGGATGCTTTTATTCCTGCAGACTTTGCATTGCCATTTGTTTTAAGTAGAAGGACAGCTGAAAAGCTTTTATTTTTGTGGAAATACCTTCCATGTTGCATTAGCTTCTCTAAATGGTTGGGGCAATTGAATTCAGAGTCGAACTTGAGCTGTCACACATGACAACTACCAGGCTGATAAGTGTCATCACAGGCACAGATCTACATTCTCTTTGACTACATATCGGTAATTCTCGACTTACAACAATTTTTTTAGTGACTGTTCAAAGTTACAATGGCACTGAAAAAACGACTTAGCTTCGTTTTGCACACTTACAACCATTGTAGCACCCCCATGGACATGTGATCAAAATTCAGATGCTTGGCAACTGACTCATATTTATGATGTTTGCAGTGTCCCAAAGTCACGTCATGACCTTTTGCCACCTTCTGATAACCAAGTCAATAGGGAAGCCAGATTCACTTAACAACTTGTTAATAACTTAACAGTTGCAGAGATTGACTCAACAAATGTGACAAGGTTATAAAATGGAGCAAAACTCACTTAACAAATTTTTGAGAAATCCTTGTTAGCAAAGAGAGTAGAAAAAAATGGTCAGTTAATGGGAAAGGTTTCAAAGAATAGCATAAAATCAGTAGGAAGAAGTCAAGGAATTATTTAATTGCATTGATGCAGATAATCCTTTTTGGGATTATCTGTTTGCATCAGGCTTTGCCTTCTAAATTCTGTATCAAAACTAGATTTATAGTAATCCTTAAAAAAAATCTAGGCTCTGCCTAGAAAAATTTTATACTAAGAAGCAGCATTTGTGTAGAAATACCAGCAGATGTAGATGTAGCAGAAAAATGAGCTCACTGCTCCCATCCAAAATATAAGCAAGAAAAAAGCAAAAGTTATTGCAAACAAAGTTAAAATCAGTTCTTACCTTTGGTAAGTGCTATGGAGTGATAGTGTCCACAAGCAACTTGTATAACATTGTACTTAGATAAAGCATCTATTTTCCTATAGAATTTACCAAACAAGAAGAGAAATAATTCATTTGCATTCCAGATACAGAACCATATCATGATATAAAGATTCTTAGCATGGCAGTTTTATCTACTTAAAATGAAATTACCATTTTTTAAAAATTGCTTTGTGAATTAATTAATTAAATAAATAATAGGATAAGCATTACAAAAAATTATCAAATGGTATTTTAATCAATAGTAATGATTTCAAATCTTACACTAGACACATGTGCTAATTCGAGAAGAATATTGTAACAATATTAAGCAATTTTTTTTTTGAATAATCCATTAAATCTTTTTTTCTTTAGCTTCTATTCTAGGATGATTTTGTTCCACATTTACACTGTTCAGTTAGAGTTGTGACTGTAATTCCCATCACCGTTGGCAGGGTATAACAGGAGTTATAAACCAAAACATTTGAAGGAAAACTATATTTAAAAAAAGAAACCAAAAAACCAGATTGTAAGATGGAAGCAAACTGATGAAGTACACTGTACACTATGAAAGCTTATGCAAAAATAAATTGGTTATCCTTTAAGAGTGTTTTTTTTTGTTTTGTTTTGTTTGCAAAGGCTAACATGACTTGGAGCCATAGTAGCACATTGGTTAGAATGCAGCATTGCAAGCAAACTCTGCCCACAGTCAGAAGTTCAATCCTGATTGGCTCAAGGTTGATTCAGCCTTCCATCCTTCCGAGGTCAGTAAAATAAGGACATAAATTGTTAGGGGCAAGATGCTATAAACCACCCAGAGTGTGCTGTAAAACACTATGGGATAGTATGTAAGTCAAAGTGTTATTATTGTACAAAATTGCTATTGCTATTTTGCAATGCTTCCTTAACTGTCTAAAGCAGCACCTACACCAGTAAGCCTCCCATTCCAGCTATGGGAGGGATGTAGACCTGTTGCAACAACTCTTCCAAGCTTTCTTAGCCAGAAAGAAAGGGAATACCCTACCTCTATGAAAAGGAATATGCAAAAGGTCACCAATTTATCCTGTAAACGTCTCCTGTTTGGAAAGCTACCCATTTATTCCAAGTCAGAAATGCAGCACAGATCACAGCTAGAAGAATGTCCCAAGTGCACAACTCAGGATTCAATCCTGTGTTTTCCTGATTAAAGGACATCTATGGCTTAGACAAGGTTACTTGGCAACGACATGAATCAATTACTTACTTTGGAGTCGAAGAGTCCTTTAGTTTTCCAGTGCCAAGCTGTCCAAAACCACCAGCTCCCCATGAAAATACCTTCCCTTGGCTGCTGATGGCCAATGAATGCTCCTTTCCACAGCTTATGTAGATTATAGTCTGGGCTTCCAAGGCTTGGATTGGTTCTTTCCAGGAGGAAAAAAAAGAGATTCATTTGCATGGTTATTAGAAGGATCTAGGACAGGGGTGTCAAACACACAGCCTGCAGGCCGGATCCGGCCCACGATAGGCCCTAAGTTGTCCCTTGGGGCTGCCTCGTGCCACCCCAGCCTCAGCCCAACCCTGGCCCCACCAACTCATTCAGATGAGACAACCTGGCACCCCCCAGCCCCCCGGGGCAAACAAAATCCTAATATAGCTTGCGATGGGATCAAGTTTTACACCCCTGATCTAGGATCAATGAAAGCCCAGTTGCTTGCCACTTTGCCGCTTTGGCATCAGGACACCGCTTGCAGCCTTGGTGGTTTGACAGCTGGTCTTCCCACTACCCACCTCCTGTGCTGGGGTCCCTCCCCTGTTCAGAGTATTGCAGTGTAAATTCAATGCCAGAAAAGTAAACACAGATGACTGAGGCTTCATTTAACTTCTTTATCAACATATAAAGTAAATTTTACAATACCAGTTGTAGATTTCTCCAACACGGAGCAAACAGAAGCAGACATGTTACAGGTTCAGAGCAGAACATCAACTCAAAAGTTCAGAAACAGATTATCAGTTTCACTTTAGTTCAGCAGGCAAGCAAGACACACAGCAGAGGAGAGAAGCAGTTTCATTTTCAATAGACAGACTCAGAGCTTAACATAGCTTCAGAGCTGCAGAGCTTAATATAGAGCCATGCCTAGGCTACTTCTAGTTTGTTTCCAAACAGTCCTCAGTGGCTGACTTAGTTGCTATGCCTATTCATTGGCTGACCTTGTTACCATGCTCTATTCCAGTTCATGAATATACTCTGACATCGCCCAGGTATGGCAAACCCCAGACTGGGGTTTGACAACCAGATGCTAATCCTCACCCTGTTTCGCTGGTCTTCCCAACTTCTCTCCAGGGAGGAAACAGCTCAACGGATTTCATACCCCTTGAGCCTGCTCTTACTTAAGTCTCAAAAAGGGTAGGAAACAGGACTTTCACATTGATATAGTTAAGGATGAGCTGGACCTGGGTCACCCAGAATTAGAGCGTTGTGGCCCCGTCGGAGCCTGGGTCCAAGGAGGAGGAAGAGATAGTCATCACAGAGATGAGGGAATATGACAGAATAGAAATGCTGACAGAAAGATGCAAATGGTGCAGAGGTGGTATTCAGCAGGTTCTGACCAGTTCTGGAGTATCGGTAGCGGAAATTTTGAGTAGTTTGGAGAACCAACAAATACCACCTCTGAATGGAGATTTTACAGTATCTTTCCCCTGCCAAGCCCACCAAGCCACGCCCACAGAACTGGTAGTAAAAAAAAAAATTTGAATCCCACCAATGAAATGGTGACTTCCATCATAGAATAGAATAAAATAAATAGAATAGTTTAGAATAGAATAGAATGGAATGGAATGGAATGGAATGGAATGGAATAGAATAGAATAGAATAGAATAGAATAGAATAGAATAGAATAGAATAGAATAGAATAGAATAGAATTCTTTATTGGCCAAGTGTGATTGGACACACTAGGAATTTGTCTTGGTGCAAATGCTCAGTGTACATCAAAGATACATTCATCAAGAGTCAAAAATAATAAGACACAAACTTAATAATAGTCATAGGATACAATAAGCAATCAAATCATACTAGGAAACAGTCAATATAAATCGTTAACATACAAGCAACAAAGTTACAGTCATAGTCACAAATGGAAGGGCATGGGTGATAAGGAGTGATGGGAAGATTAATAGTAATAGTAGTGCAGACTTTGTAAATAGTTGGACAGTGTTAATGGAATTCTTTGATTAGTAGAGTGATGGCGTTTGGGGAAAAACTGTCCTTGTGTCTAGTTGTTCTGGTGTGCAGTACAGCCCTATAGCGTCATTTTGAGGGTAGGAGTTGAAATAATTTATGTCCAGGATATGAGGGGCCCGTAGATGTTTTCACAGCCCTCTTTTTGATTTGTGAAGTATACAGGTCCTAGATGGAAGGCAGGTTGGTAGTAATTGTTTTTTCTGCAGTCCTAATTACTCTCTGAAGTCTGTGTTTGTCTTGTTGGGTTGCAGAACTAAACTAGACAGTTATAGAGATGCATCATGTATGTCGGTGTCCATTCTCATTGCTTTCTTCTATTCAGCTGAACAGATGTGATTGCACAATAGTTAGTCATTCTTCCCCCCACCCCCACCTGCTATCCAAGCAGAGTCTTGTTTCCCCTCCTGGAGCGCCCCGAGCCAGCTGGTTTCGGGGCTAAGACACCCCGTAGAGGTGGTGAAGAGAGGGGAGACCGCCAGCAGGGTCGAGGAGAGCCGCATCTCTCCTCCTCAGCTGGCCATTACTCCCTTTCCTGAAGGCGGTTGCAGCGGTGGTCAGAAATGGCCACCACAAAGAACTCGACTGGAAAAGAATGTGCAGGAGGAAGATAAGAAGTGAAAGTTTTGGCTGACAGGGTTAAATTGTAAAAGGAACAACCAAGGTACCCTGGAATTTAAACTTACAAAAAATAACATCGCTCCCAAAGAAGAGTCAGAAGCAGTGAAGGAAAGTGAAAAGGGAAAGGTTTGGCTTTTTTTCTTCTTCTCTCTCCTTCCCTATACTGACAACTAAGAGACTTAAATAAGAAATCAGAAAAATCCACTTTGACATCAATAAGCAATTAAGCTGAAAATAAAACAAAATGCCAAAGGGATAATAAAGATTTCTGGACATTAAAAACTTTCTTTTTCATAAGCAGGAAGGGAGAGAAAAAGAATAAGGGCAGGATCTGGAAGAGGGAGGAGACTGCCTGGAATTAAAAAGAATCTAAAGTAAATCTTCAACAAGACTTCTAAAAGATACATTTTAATTGAAACTTTGCAACTAAATAGTAACCCCAGGAAAAGAAAGTGGGGGAAAAAGAGCAAAAAAGAAACAGCTTGCGTGTATTTGGATTATTTGGTGATCTTTGGATTTTTGGTTATTATATTTGAATGACTAAAATCAATCGGGTGGTTGTTTAAAAATTTATACAATGGCACCACTTCTGGATGAATTGAAAATGGAACTTAAAAAGTACAAAGAAGATACACAAGAAGGGAAGGGTTCTTTTGGCTTCGTTTTTCAATTCTTAGAAATGGAGATTTGGAACTATGAGAAACAACAAGAAAAGACTGCAAAACAAGAAGACTGGGACAAAGAAGAAGCCATCTTTAATGAACAAGTAATTCTATGTGGGGAAGAAAAAGGAAAGGGGGGAAAGAGAATAGAGAATTTAAGACTTAAAAAAACAACCAAAGAAAAGAAAAATAATTCGAAAAATAAGTATAATACTGGAAAGCAACAGAAAAGGGGGAAACAGAAGAGAGAAATAGAGGTAGAGAGACAAGGGGGTAAAAAGGGGAGAGAGAAGAAGAGAGGGAAGAGGAAAGGAAAAGAAGTTACAAAGGACCGGAGCAAGATATAGAGAAACAGGACCTATTTAGAGATAATGGGTGAAAATCTAACTGAAAAGGGGATTCTGTAAAGGTACATAAGATTGTATTGTTATATTAGTAATAGAAATAACTTTAGAAAATTGGAAACAACGTATGATTAAAATGAGGGATAAAATAGTGCAATTTAGTGAAATGTTTGTGAATAAAATAAGTGAAATAAAATAAATGAGAAAATTGAATTAGGAAGGAATGGGAACATTTTAGTTAATGTTTTATAAAATATAAGTGGGGGGGGAATTAACTATGGAAATCTTATAATTGTTCCCATAGAAGTATGATATTTAATTGAAAAGTAATGTTTTTTGTTTTTTTTTAAACAGACTTTATTCAGTTTTCACATTAAAAACAAAAATCTGTTTTTAGTGGACAACATATTTCCGGGTCATCATCTTTACATACAAATATGACAGAAATTATACATTGATATATGGATACTTAATTCTATTATTACCTTTTCCATTCCAAATTTTCAGTAAGGAGAGAAACAAACACATTAATTCTAGCCTCTTTCATTAATTTCAATCAATTTTGTTTCATTTCAATTATTTCAAATATAATCCTTTAGTATTTGTTTTTAAACATAAAGATAAACAATATATATTTGCCTAATAAATAATAATAAGGTTTAATTCTAAATTCTTTCATTAATCCCAATCTAAAAAATTTTAAATTTCATTTCAATTATTTCAAATATAATCCTTAATATTTATTTTAAAAATAAAAATAAACAATATATATTTGCCTAATAGTGGTAATAATGAAGTTACCAATGTCTCTCCTTGCTTTTAATAATCTATATTAAACTTATTAAACTTATTAATTTAGCTGGTTCTTTAGTCTGTCACATTCCCTTTCCATTACTTTTTTTTTATAAATTCTAAATTAATACAAATCTTAACACACCCACACAAAAAGAAAAAAAGAACAAGTATAAGTTTCCCCTCTTTTACTATTTTGAGTGTGACACCTTAATGATTAGAATATACCTTTATTCCCTCATCTTAATTCCCAATAAACCATTAGTTATTACATCTTCTCAATTGGATTCCACAGCATATTCCCCCCCCTTTAATAAGAATTATCAGTATCTATATTACCCTATTTTCTAAATATATTTAATTGCAGAAATATTCTTATTACCCCTTGTCACCCTGTAGAATCCCCCTTTTAATTCATCAACCATTATCTCTGAAAAGGCAATTTCTTAATTGAAAAGTAATATTAAAGATGTTAAGACTTTAATGAATATTAATATTAATGATAGAATTGAATTGGAATGGAATGGAATGCTGTTTTAATTATATACATTTATAATTTTTTTCTTTTTTTTAAGAATACAGTGTGTATTTTAAGAATGTACCAAGCAGAATCCGAATGGAAGTTGTGTATTATATTGAATGTTACAACTTTAGGGAAAAGATATAAAGGCATCATACTCCAATCAGTAACTACAGGAGAAATTTTGTTTAATGAGAAAAGATAATAGATAATTTAAACAGGACAGACAAAAAATATAAATACAATGATTTGAAT